GCTTCCACGAGAGACCATATGATAGGTGTTGAAACCGGCGCGGCGTTTTCCATTCTGTTTCGATCGACAAACCTGGAAGTACCTTCATCATGTTGGTAAAGCTTAATACACTGATGTGAACCTCGCTTGTCGCTGCCACACTCAATGCATGCAACGTAGGTAAGAATGTTCAAGAAGGATAGGGATGGGGACCAATTCTGGGGTCGGGAAAAAAGCGAATCTCTATGATCATAGAGCACATAATCTGTCTGTGCATACATACTGTTTGAAGCATTCCGATCTGATATGAACTGACAAGCAAATCGCCACTGCTGTTTTTTGCTGTAATGACCAGTGTCTACAGCCATGCGGTTTCGGAGTCTTTTGAACCCCAACCCGGAAGATGAGAGACACCTACTCTACCTAATCGCTCTGTGCATTTCTTCATACCTCGTCTCTACGTAATCTAATGGCGTCCATGTGGCTTTCCCCAGCCTGCAACGTCCACAGCGAATAAGGCGCGCTGCGGTAGGCGACCGTCGGACATGTGCGAAACGTGTCTGAATTTAATTCGTTAGCAAATTCTTGTGCACTGCACTCCCAAACATCTAACGGCTTTCTTTTAGAATACTAACCCGTTCACTCCGGACTACTCAAGGACCGATTGTCGATAACCACTAGGCGACGAATGTCTTGTACCCGCATATTCAAGGTTTCAACCGTAAAGCAAAACCAATCGTATAGCGACGCGGTATACGCGATTTTTCAACTTCAGTGAAACTTAACGTCGTCGCCACAGGTGTTTTAGTCCTGCGTACGCTGCTTCAGCCTTGGGAATGCGGGCAGTTATCTCCTTTGATGCGCTAGTGTCGTGGATCAAGCAGCTACTCTTGCACGAGAAGCAGCGCCTTTATGTCACAGGTAGCTTCTATAGCCGGACATTTCGACCTCGGTACCGGAATTTTCTGTCAAAGAATTAATTGCTGTTGCCTTGACTGTGCTAGAGCTTGTGGCGCATTCTCAGTGAACACAGATCGTGGTGTACTGGGATACCTTATAAGATTCTTCATAAATTCCTCGATAAAGCCAACCAATCCTAACGTAGAATTCACCTGGAATTGAAGTAAAATCGATTGTTTTTGCGATCATTTCCTGATATATCTTTTCCTTCTCCAGTCTAAACTTCTTGTTTGTTAACTGATTTCCGTGTTCTCTGTAACTCTTATGTGAGCTTATGTTTATTGGGATCATATTCAGACTTCATCTACCTTCCAAATGATTCTTTTTTAGAAGGAAATACATTGACAGCCTCTGCCTTGTTACCTCCACGCGGTCGCGACCCGTGCGTGGGTGGCGTGACCAGTTCCCTTTCGTTGCACGATCACCCAAGCTGCGACGTGACCTTAGAAAGTGGTTATGGTGGTAGCGATACGTCTTTCAGTTCTGTCACTTCCTGTGGTATCTCAAGTCGTCCATGTGATCTACTGGACCGCACACTTCCGTCCGAACCGGATTGTAAACGGCCACGATGCGAAGTTCAAGAACAAACCACAAATACCATTACAACCACGTCCACTGGGATCACCACACAACTCGCTGTTGCTCTGCCCCAATCCAAGACCGGACACAGCAAAGAGGTATCACCCGAAGATGACGGTGAGATTGATAGACGTCCATTCAAATCTAAGGTGAGCGGTTTCATCCTTGAATCGTTTGTCACTTTGCAATTCTGTTATATTTTTGCCAATAATTGTGTTGCGTTTATTTCCAAGCCCTGTCATTTTAAGCCTTTAAGACGTGATGATGATGGAAAATTTATTAGATCGTATTCGATTGCCAACTGGAGTACCAGAGTTTGATGAATTTCAGGCTGGTCACCTGGCTCCTGTTTAAAAGCCGCATGAAGTCATGAAAAAGGTCGATGTGACTGGCCTTTTAAAGTAATTGACCTCTGCACTTCCGAGGCGACTGATTACGTCCTGTTACCTTGCAGTTCGCACTTGGTTATGCAAAAGCTAGAGGTGCGCCCTCGAAATAAAAATAAACGTCGAGTGACTCCGGGGACGTCTCATACCAAACTTCCAAGGAACTCCGTGATCTTGGGCATTTTCATATCTGGAGTCAGCTAATCCTTTCCAAGGAGCCAGCCGCAGTAAAGTAAAGTAAATACGATTGCCAACCCGAACTATACAGCGTGCCAACATTGCACCGAATGTGGTAATTATTAATAGTATCATACATTACGTATGTCTCTGTACAGACAGTGTCCGATAAACCACGCTACAAGCATTTACTAAAAATAAATCGATTGTCCGTAAAAACAGTACTCAGTTACCCCGGGCCGAGGACAATTCTTTTCCTGGAGATTCACAGCTAATCCATCCCATAATCGAAGTATTTGCAAAATAGGGTATTTTGTGGACTAAAAGATCTTACCTCCTTGACATGCGGTTAGTGGTGTGTTCAGAGTGCTCAATTGGACCGATAACAGTTGAGATTAAAATACCCTAAACCCGGTTTACTCATCTATCCGAAAATTACCCGATTGTGCAAATGAGGTTATTGTGACGAAAATATACTTCCTGGGTACAAGTATATGAATGAAC